GGTACAAGCAGATTATTTGTGGAAATCGGTATTCTCTTTTTCAGCCCAGATATTGGACATGTTACCAAGGGCATTGTAAGCAGTAGTGATTCTCTTGTTTAATTCTGATTAATTGGTCAGTCGTTGGAGATGATGAAACCAACGTAATTTAAGTGGCTAACCGTTTGCGCCGTTTTACCTACCTGTTGACTTTTTGTGCTACATCAGATTCTCATAACTCTTTCATTTGGGCGTTAAAAAATAGACCAGCTTTTGAGGATGTGTTGCATAATTACTAGTAAGATGAATTGGTCCTGTCATAAAGTAAGAGCAGTTTAGTAGCTGAACGCAACATAGACAGAGATTGGGCATACCCAGGAGACTGAAGCCTCGATCTGGTGAGACTCAAGTATCAGTAGCTCATCCTCTGATAGCTGCTTTTTTTATACTTTGTTATTGTAATTTGATAGTATTTCTTTCGTCTGTAATAACTAGCATGCGAAAGGAATGCTTCAGTTGTTGCGGCATTAAACGAACTTTCATATCCATAAACTAATACAAACGTTTATTAGGACTGTGAGATGAAAGTTTACGTTTTAAAACTCGCAGATATCTTGATGACGTTGGTGAATCTTTTTGACAATGATTTTAGTCTGAAACCCTTTAGTTTAACTTTTGTTTATTGATCTCTCTTTTGTTAATCTCTTCTAAATGTGTATTGCTTTTTAGTTCTGATCCCTTGAGCAATGCGTCAATGCATTTGGATTTTGGATCAGCGCAGAGTGCAGTTGAATTCTGCATGCGACATGGTGAGCCCATTTATTTTGATTTTCTTCTGACTTGCATGAGCCCACGTGGTTCTCTGAGTTCATATTTCACTGATCAAAATATTATGAACCATTGATACGAAAGGTATTCACGCTGTTCCTAACACTTTAAATATAGCGTAAAACAGGAAGAAGAAACTCTACAGTTGCCCTCCCAAGCGCAGTTGAGAAAGGAGGAGGGTTGGAGACCGTGGCAAAGTCTCCGTAATAGTTCAACATCTACCACTCATCGTATTGACACTATCGAAAATTATACCGGCTCGATTGTCGTCCGGGATATCAAAGGCCTTGCAGGCTGATGAGGGACCGAGGAAGACTGTGAAAAGTCGGCAGTCAGAACCTGCTCACCCCCTTCTGAGAGCCAGGAGGTAGCAGCATGACACCGGCTGACGAAGACCGACGCAACGATGACGAAGATACGAGTCAGCAACGGAGACGCTACCCATTCTGAACGGAGGAGGCAAACAGCGCGATGCCATTATAACACGTCAGAAAAGGGCCCAAGAGCGAAACCACCAGTGGGAGCCGACAGTCGGCAGTTGGAATATATCCCCACTCAGACGGTAGAACAAGAGTTAGTTGGTGGAGCCATAAAGTACCAACTCGTCATTTTTAGACTCTCGTCAGCGAAGTGCCGAGGAATCCTGAACTTCTGTGGGTAAAAGCTATTCCACTCAGGTGTCGATGTCATGACGCGTGCTCAGCCCGGAGTTGGTGTTCTGCTAGAAATCAACCTCGCAGATAGAATCATTGATTGGAAGCTTGTCATCGGAAGAGTAACAGTTTTCCGACTGAAGTTACAACAGGCCAATGCGTTGACATCTTAAAAATCTATGCACCCAGTTTAGAGAGAGAATATGCATGGCACTCTGTAGGAAGTGCAGAATACGGAGTCCCTCATACGCATGGGAGATTTAATGCGCATTTTGGAATAAACGCTGGAAAGTGGAACGGCGTGATTGGACAAAACGGCCCTAGCGACCTCAAAAATAGCCGCATAAAGTTGTTGCGGTTTTGTGCAGACAGCGGATCGTCCATTATGAATACCTTCGAGCATCGAAGAGTCCATCAGTATATCTGGTATCGGGAAGCTTGTGCACAGAAGTCGATGATCGACTTGATAATCGTATCGTCTCAGTTAAGACGCTCTGTAATGGATGTTCCTGTTAAGAGGGGCGAAGAACTATCAACCGATCTCCACTTTATTGTTTGCACGCTGCGTTTAAGAAACGAAGTAACATACGAAGATTTGGCGGTAGAAGCAACCATAGAATCAAATGAGAAACCTTCTCTTCGGTGGACATCAAAGCGAAATTCGCAAGCAACATTGCACAATGGTTTGAACAGATCCTGGTGATGACTACTGATGTGGAAACAGCGTTGCGGCTCTATAAGAGCGGCATACTCGAGGTTGCCGCCGAATGCTACGGATTTAAACGGGTTAGCATGCCGCCTGGAGGTGAGTAAAGAACTACCTGGTGGACTGGAGAGGTACAGCTGGCAGTTAAAGAGAATAAGGCTGCATTTAAGAAATGGCTTACAAACAAAGACCCTGCTACTCGCGTGCCACATGTCGAAGCACCCAAGGCGGCAGCGAAAGTGTCGAGTGTCGAACTTCCTGACAGACAAGAGAGGTACAACCGGCAGTTAAAGAAAATAAGGCTGCATTCAAGAAATGGCGTGGAAACAGAGAGCCTTCTACTCGCGTGCGATATGTCGAGGTACCCAAGGCGGCAGTGGCGAAATCAAAGCTGTTTCCTGGAAGAAGTTCTGTGATGAGTTTGAGTCAGATTTCCACATGGCAAGGAAGGTATTCTGGCAGACCATACGCCCTCTCTACGGTGAAAAGAAGGAAAGTTTAAGAGTCTTGAAGGACAGGACTGTAAACACTGTTACCGAGGATAAGGACATCCTTCGGCGTTGAAGAGAGTATTCTGAGGAACTCTTTAACCCCGAGTAACCGCAGGAAGATTCGCCTGTGGCGCAGCAGGGAACTGTTAATACTGTTTCTGTAAATGAAATTAGACAACCTTTAAAAACTGGAAAAGCTGCAGGAATTGATGGAATCCGCCTTGAAATGCTCAAAACATTAGGCAGACAAGGTATGTGCTGGCTTACAGGTGTCTGTCAAACTGCGATAACTACGAGTAAGACATCACTGGACTGGAGAACAGACGTTGTTGTACCCCTGTTCAAGAAAGTAGACTGCGGGGGAGTTTTCAATTATAAGGGCTTAACGTTTTTGGTCTTCGCAGGTAAACTCTTCGCCAAGGTGGTAGAAAGGAGGTGCCGCAAAATAACTTACTCCAAGAT